AAAAGGCGGGTTGGAGAAGCTGTCACCTGAGCCTGCTGCCCATTAGAAATGCCTTGGGGGTGCCTCTAGCCTTGTCTCCAGGAATTACCGCCTTCTATGTCAGTCTGAAAGTTCCTCTTGAAGTCTAACCCACAGCCTGCCCTCAACTCACACCCACAGACCAGGAGCCTGCTTCTCTGGGGGAGGGAGGCAGTATGTTGGCAGAACTTCCTGAAAAGGAGTGAGTGGAGTGTGTATGTGTGTGTGTGTGTGTGTGTGTGTGTGTGTGTGTGTAGGCAGGGGCAGGGAGAGGGGTGATTCTTAATGAACTGCTACACAGCCCCCTAGACAAGGTCTTTAATGATATATCTAATTAGCAGCCCCTAATTAGCAAACACTTAGGCGTAATTACAAACCCACCAGGATCCCAAGCAGACTCCCCTTTGCTTTTCCCTCCTCCCTTTTTGGGTTTTGGGACATACAGGGAAGACCCTGAAAGTTAAGAACCATCTAACTGCCTCTGTTGGGGGAGGATGAGATGCCTGGGAAGTCTTAGTTCAAGTCTAATCAATTGTCCCTCTAGCTTCAGTCCTCCAGGAAGACTAGAGTCAGTGGACTGATGTTTGCCCGCCCAGAGGCAGGGTCATCCAGTCTATTGGATCCCTTTTGCTGTCACCCAGATTCTTCCCCCCATCTCCTAGTCTTGGAAGAGAGACCCAGGAGAGAAAGCACTAGATAAATATTTGTGAAACACTTGGACAAGAGGCCTGAGCATTGTCTGTCTGTGGCTGGGGCAGCCACACTTTCTACTCCAGGCTTTCTCCTCTGAGCCTTGAAAGTTAATCTGGGTGTAGACTCAATGGCGAAAGGATCAAGTTGAGTCCAGGAAAGGCCGGCAGGGCAGATGGTAGCACCCGCTCACGGTGGCATCTTCAAGGCCGTCTCTCCACCAACCTCATGGGCTGATGGCCAGCTGGGTTAGTGGTAAGTGTCCTGTTCTGCCTGACCTGTCTCTGGGGGATTCTGGAAAGCCAGGTGGGATTCCTCAAGGCAGCCACAGCGGGGTGAGGACCTGGTGTATATACTGACTGCTGGGGGTGGGGGTGATGCAATGCCGAGTGGGAATACAGAACTCAGAACACACACACCGGCTCTCTTTCCATCAGCCACACAGGGCCCCCACCACACACACAGTTGCAGATTGCAGACAGATAAACTGAGGCCAGTAGGGAGAGAAAGGACTCGGTCAAGCCAGAGACAGAACACAAATGTGGCATTAAGGCATGGGGCTCCTAACCCAGTGATCTTTTAAGCCATCTGGAATCCCCACGCTCCTGCCACGCAAGGCAGGCATCTTGTGGGCTCGTGAAAGCTCACAACAGCTCTGGCCCAGGTGTTGGTCAGTACCTCGCCCACCTTCCCTGGAGTCCTTCCTGAGGGAAGGAAAACGTCAGGCTGAGCCCCTCTGTAGAGCCCCCAGAAGGTGGCTGCTTTCCCACCCAACCTCACTATGAAGCTGGTGTGAGGCTGGAGGGATGGAAGTGAGATTGTGAGAAAGACCTGTCTAGCCTGACCTTAGAACAGTGCCCAGGAGTAGCAAAGTGTCTCAGAGTTGTCCAAAGAATGAATGGACAAACAGTGAGAGGTATAGGAGTTAGACTTTGGAAGGACTGGTCTAATGTTACTACACAGGTTAGGCTGTAGGCAGGATCAGCCCCAGAAAGTCAGGGTTAGGCAGGATGGAGAGACCTGGGCTAAGAGGGGGTGAGGAGGAGTTAGGGGCACTCCAGGCCCTCGGGGGAGTCCACACTGCGGGGAATCTGCCTCCTCCAGGTCCCCGTGCATCAGGGGCGGAGACAGAGGTGTGTGGGTGTGAGTTGGCTGCAGGCAGAGGGAGAAGAGGGAAGAGACAGACCCAGGTGCCCAGAGACGGACGGACAGACATACACTGTACACATGGCGCACGCTGAAAGCGGGGCAGCCAGGATTCAGAGCCAGGGATCAGGAAGCCCCCGCACTTGACGATGTGGTGCAGCCTGGATTCCCAAAACCCCGGGGGCTCCGGACGGCCACGCTGGGCTCTTACCTGCCTTGCGGCCGGGCCGGTCCCCGCTGGGCCCCCGCGGTGGGCGCCTCCGCCTGAGGAGGAAAGGGAGAAAGAGGGAGAGGAGCCGGGGACTGAAGGAGAGCAGGGAGGAGGGAGGAGAGGGGATGCGAGGAGGGGAACCGGGGAGGGGCTGAGAGGAGGGCGGAGCCCAGGGGAGGGGGCGGGGACAGAGAAGGGGGGGAGCTGAGAGAGCAGCCCCGGGGAGGGGGCTAGACTGGAGAGGTAGGGGAGTACAGCTTGGGAGGAGGCCGGGGAAGGGGGCGGGGACAGAGGAACTGGGGCGGTGGAATCAGCCGTTAAGAGGGACCAGGCTGAAGGAGGGAGATGCCGCTGACGGGAGTGGGTGGGATAAGTGAGCTGGGGAAAGGACCACCAGGAGGTGGGAAAGAGGAAATTTAGGAAGGGTGGAGTGGGAACAGGATAGTTGTGGGTTGGAGGACAGGGACAGCCTGGAAGAGGGAGGAGCTGAAGAGGGTGAGAGGGTGGGGACAGGCGAGCTGGGGAAGGACCACCAGGAGGAGAAATGTAGAGGCCGGAGGAAAAGAGGGAGGAGCCAAGAGAGGGCAGGGCTTATGGGAGGGAGCGAGGCCTGGGCTCTCAGGCTAGGGAACCCGCTGAGGGAGGAGCCAATATGAGGAGGCGTGGTCAGGGGAGCTAGGGGCGGGGCCACAGAGCTGAGAAGAGGCTTTGCAAAAGAGCAGGAGGGAGGAGCCAGGAAAGGGGCGTGGCCAAAGAAGCCAGTGGGTGGCAGAGGGGCTTGGCAGGGCTGGGGCTGCAGGTTGCCCCAGTCTTGGGGTTCAGCACTAGAATTCAAGGACAGCGACGGAGGGCTCAAGTTTGTACACCTGTCTGTGCTGTGGTATCCCAGTGTCTGTCTTTGATCACACACGCGCAGCATCCCGTCCATACAAGGGCCCAGAGATGCAGTCATCGCTACAAATAGCCACAGGCTGGCAGACCTGGGGGAAGTGGGGGAAGGAACATCGGGCGGCAGATCTTTCCAAGTTCACAGGCTCGGCCTGCTCAGAGCACCTTACAGAAGACAGGGAACTGGCATTAGAGTGCCCAGCTCAGGCATGACGAGAGCCATTCCCACTGCCCCTGCCACGTCAAAACACGGTCTGACTCCCAATCCCCTGAGGTAGATGTTATTAGCTCCATTTTGACATTTCAAAGGTGGGGAAACTGAGGCAGCAACTGTGGCTTCCGGTTGTGTATCTTCACCACATGCTGTACTGCCTCTGGGCTGGTGAAGTAGGGAAGGATCAAGATTACCCAGTGTGGTGACACACATCTGTGATCCCAGCACTCAGTAGGCTGAGACAGGAGGATGGCTGAGTTCCAAGCCATCCTCATAGCAAGTCCTAGACTCAAAACACTTTTGGGGTGGCGGGTTGAAGATGTGGACCAGTTGGTAGAATGCACTAACCCTGGGTTCTGCCTTCAGTACAGTATAAACTATGCATGGTGGTGCATGCCTGCAATCCCAGCAATCAAGAAGTGGAGATAAATCCTGACATGAATGTCACCCTTGGCTAGAGGCCAGCCTGAGCAACATAAGACCCCTTCTCAACTACCCCCCAACTGAAACGTCTTAAGCCAAGTGTCCTAGGATTCCGAAGCCGACAGGTGGTTGAACACAACTAGCTGTACAGGTGCAAGCACTCATACCTGCAAGTGCACACCCACGCACACCTCAGGATGTGTGCATCACACGCCCTCACCATCACTACCCTCAGGACAAAACCCACTCCAGGCTCCCTCCCTCTGGAGGACAGGTGACAGGTGCTGGGTGCAGAGCACAAAATGGTACAAGCAGGGAGAGAAGGCTGGCCCTGCCAGCAGCCAGTACCCACTGCCAGCTCTGGAGGGACACTCTTGGGCCTGCTGCCAGGAGAGGGAAATTCCAACTCCCTGAAGCTTCCCACGCTTTGGCCTGGCTTTTGGAGGTTGGAGCCTGGGAAGTTGAGAACTTGGCATCTGAGGTCCCAAGACCTTTGCAGTGAAGGAGGGTGGTCAGATTTACAGGTGGACTTCCCTAGCAGGAGTGACGGCTACCTACCCAACCTCACAAACACATGTTCCCCCAAGGAAGTGCCCAGGGCCCACGCCCAGCCTGGATTCCCTCTCTAATATTTTACCGACCCTACTGATCCCAATTCTATTCCTGGTCAGGGGTTGGGGAAGCAACATTTCCTCTGGGCTACATTCCTCTGGACCTTGGGTTAGAGACTGATGGAACCATGGGGTTAGTAACTGCTCTTGTCTCTCTGATCCTTGGGCCGTTTAGCTGAGCCCCACTACCAACTTTAGCACAGTATCTTCTGGGGCCTGTCTGCCTTGGTCTAGCTTTGACACCCCACACCAGAATCTATGCTATGTACACTTACTTTGTTTAGCCTTGGTCCATGCCCAGTCTAATCCCTTTTCTTTTGAGACCAGCCCCCTCCTAAATAGACCAGTAACGTGACCTCTTCTACTTTGGGGCTAAGGGAGTCTGCAGAGCCCTTACTGGGTCCGGTGGAGATGCTAAAAATCCCAAAAGATTCCCTTAGTCTCCATGGGTCTCCCAGGGGACCCGCCAGAGCTCGAAGCCCCTGGTGAGTTTTCACTTCCCCTTCACTGCTGAGTCCTCATCTGTCGTTCCTTATTCATCCTAGATCGAGACAATGAGCCTAGGGTAGCCTCAGTGGCATTTCTCTTGGACTGTACTTCCTGAGTTTAGTTTATCAGAGCAGAGGACGGCTCCATAGCTTTCAAAAAGGCACCCTCCACACACTGTAACTTTCTTTCCTCTGGGTCTAACCTAGGAATCTCTGTGAAGTCCTCCTCCTCAGTTCTTTGAGAGTGAATCCAGCATCGGAGAACCTGGCACACAGCAAGTACTCAATAGATGCTTGCCAGACAAAGGAAATGAAGACAGCCAGGGCAGCTTTGTTGCTCTGCATGTATAAATAGTCCTCCGGGACCAATACCTGATGGGATTGCAGGGGTTGGCTGAGAACGTCTCTTTTCAAATGGCTCAGACAGGAGTGATCAGCCAGGGTCACACAGCATACCAGGGTGGGCTAGGGACTCTCAGCATCCCTCTTCTGGGGGAGTCCAAGGGGAGCACTCCTCTTCTGAGATGCTCCCCCCACTCCCCATCAATGATACACATGAGGCACCTACACCTGAGAAGAGGGAGTGCTCAGGAGGCTGGGGGCTCCTCAGGCCTGGGACCCATCCTGTCCCCAAGGCCCTGCTGATGTTTCCTCTTCTCCACTTGATGACGAAGCCGTGTCAAGACCAGCTCAGAGGCCTGGATCAGGCTGTGCTGTGGGGACAAGAGAGGTAGGTAAGCTGTGACAGGCGAGTGGAGAGGGCACATGTTAGACCATACTGGGCAGAGACTAGACCACAGTGTGTTGGGTGAGAATTGGTTTCCCAAGTAGGAGCAGAGGCCAGACATAGGGTCGGGGTGGGGGATACAGCTTTAGGTCAACGTCCTGTAGGAGGGGCAAATTAGATATAAGTAGAAAGAACTGAGGCTGGAGATCAGCAGAAGGGCTGGTCATGGTGCTAGGGCAGCTGAGACAGAAGGACTGAATTCTGGGACAGCTATGGCTATACAGTGTGACTCTACCTCACAAACCCAAGGGCTGGGGGACATAGCACAGTGGGTCTGATACTAAGCACCAGACACATACATAAATAAGTGGAAAGAGAGAGGGAAGGGAGGAATAGAAAAGTAATCAGAGGAAAGACAGAGGTAGCTCAAAAGCAGACTACATTTGAGGGTATTTGAGGTTCAACTGATAGAGAAAAGCTGAGGTTATATCACAGCAGGGAGGACAAAGGTAAGATTCTGCAACAAATGAGAGGTTAACAGAGCAAGAACCAAGCAGAAGTGGAAAGCAGAAGTTGAGGTTAGACCTCAGAGACGTTCCTCTGGGGCTCATGAGCTGCCAGCTTAGTTTGGGGGTCAGTAGAAGACTCTGCCTCAAGATAATACGATAAAAGAGAAGACACACGAAATCCTCCCTGACCCCTCTCTCCCTCCCCCCCCCCTCACACACACACACACAGAGATAGAGAGAGAGAGAAAGAGGTTGTAAAACCCACAGCATCTAACTCTGCTTTACCAGGCCAATACCTCCGTCATGAATGCCACTGGATGGCATTCTCTTGGCTGCCAGAGACCTCCCAAGACCAGGCTATTCCTTCCTACAGGGAAAATGCCATGCCTGTAGCTGAACAACTGACCTGGGCTCAGCCCCTGCTCTGTTCTCAATCTCCCTCCCACCCAACCTGGCAAGGTCCCTCAGTGAGTGGCAGCTTCTGCCTCAGCCATGACAGGCCTGATACCTGGAGGATGTGCACCCCTTTCAGGGATACCACGGCCAGCTCCTGCAGGCCATCTCCAGTCAGGTCCACATGGGCCATGGCCAACAGGGGGCTGGCGAAGCTCCTGCGCCACAACAGGCGGAAGCCTCTGCTGGCCTCCGGCAGTCCACGGTACTTATAGCAGAGCAGTTCCTGTGGGGAGAGGGGCCGAGGTCATGCAGGCTGAGGAGGCAGGGTCGCTGCAGGGGCATGGATGGGTGATAGGCTAATCTTCCAGGACCCACCTGTCCATAGGTGGCCACCAGGACTTCCGGTTGTCCATCTAGGTCCACATCAGTGACCAGGCCACAGAGGACGCTGTCAAACTGGTCACTGCCAGGCAGGAGAAGTTGGTCATCCAGGCCCTTGTTCAGAAGGTCCCTGAGGGTCCCCAATACATGGGGGAAGCTAAAGTCAGATGACAGGACCTTGCCACCTTTGGATCTAGATTGTAGGTGATGCCTGACTGGCTTCCTCTGAAGTCCAGACTCACTCTTCTGATGCTGTGTGTCTTGGTTTCCATGTGTGTACCTTTGAAAGTGGCTAGCCTCAACTGTCCATCCTGTAGACCCACTTCGGGAGGGCCTATTGTGCTCCTAGGTGTGCGCCCACATGATGGCTCTTGGAGACACAGGTGCCCTGATCCCTGAACTTCTAAGCACTTGGTACTTCACAGAGCACAAGTGTGCCGGAGCTGGATGGAACTAGCTCATAGGAGCTGCTGGGAGAGCGTAAAGTGGGAGAGGTGGAGGGAAAGTAGGTGTCAAGGATGTAGTTAAATGTGTAGCATGAACGAGGCCCAGGGTTTGACCCAGTACCACATAAGCTGGGTGTGGTGGTGCATGCCTGTCATCCCCGCACATGGGAGGCAGAGGCAAGAGAACCGTGAGAGCTCAGGGTCGTCCTTAGCTACAGAGCTGGAGGACAGCCTTGACTTCCTAAGATCCTATCTCGCCCCCATCCCCAACACACACAAACTGACTGCCTGCGTTAGCATTATAACTGCACAATTTGTGGTGCCTTAAAATCCAAGATGGTGGGAATAGTGACACCATGGAAATTGCCAAGCACTGCACATCTAGGCTTTCCCAAGCCAGTGTCTGTTGGCATCCCTGGTCCACTCAGGTCAGGGGTATGGGTGTCTTTAAATGGGGGAAGACATACCCACCCTTAACAAATCCTCTACAAGATCCAGATGTGAGCGCTCCCACCTCCTCCCTGATCACAGCACCTCTCTTGATCCTAGCCACCTCAAAGGGTTGACAAGGTTAGACCATACCACATAGGCACAAGGTTAACTTGTGCCCAGAAGCCCCAGGCATGCTCACCAGTACACCACAGCTGGCTCCAGCATGCTGGCCACAAGCAGACTGTATCCTTCCTGAGGGGGGCTGTTCTGGGTTGCTATGGAAGAGACAGGAGTTGGCAGGTCTATGGAGACAGGCTCTTCTGTATCCCCTTCCCCACTGCAGTGAAGCACGCAGGCTAGACCTCAGGATGAAGACCCAAGATTGTGCCTCAGAAGGGAGGATTAGAGGTTAGAATATGACAGGACTGTGGCCAGACATTAGACGGTGTTAGTCTGAAGGTAGAACACAACCGGAGACAAAGGTTAGAGCAGAGTTGAAGTCTAAGGTTAGACTACACTGTGAGAATTGCTTAGAAGGTGAGGGGCAAGTTAAGGTAAATGTGAGTGAAGGACAAACCAAGATCAAAAAAATAGGAAGAAAAGCACCTGGGGGTAGGGTGAGACCATGATTGACAGTTGTCAGTCCAAAGGGAATAAGAAGTCTGGGGTGGGGGAAGTCAGTGTAAGATAGTATGAGGAGTGAAGGCTAGACTACAAAGGGAAAGTTGAAAGTAGAGAAAAAGTTGAAGGTTAGACCAAAGTAGGTAGAGAGAGGCTGGATAACAGAAATAACCTGAGGGCAACCTGTGGCATAGGTTATGGACTGGAGAGGGGCCTCAGAAGGAGCAAGAGGTCTAGCCTGGACTCTTAGGGTGGAGAAAGCTGAGGTTGCAGAGTCCACTCTCCAGACCCCAGGTCTAGCAAAGAGCTCACCCTCTGAGGTTGACAGGCTGAACACAATCACTCGGGAGATGGGCCCATCCTGCTGGATTGTCCATGTCTGCAAGATCTCTGTATGGAGAGCAGGGACTCAGGGACCTGTTCACATCCCTGGGCTTGTCCCCACCCCAGGCCTGACCCTCACCTCGAGTCTTCTGGTCCACGTGAGCCACGCGCACATAACCACTCTGGCAGCCCAGGGCTGAGAGCCGCTGGGATGAGCCAGGGAGGTTGTGGACATCAAGCCAGAGGACACTGGTGGGAGGAGGGCGGATAGGTGGACAGACAGGTAGATTTCTCAGGACTCAACTCCATCTCTGTTTTCCAGAACACCCAGCCCCTCCCTGAAGCACCAGGAGCCAATCCCTGCACCCCATCCTGCTTGCTCTGGGGATAGCCACCCATGATCAATCAACTTCCTTGAGGTCATGATGAAAGCTGGGAACATGCTACCCAGCTACCTAATATATTTATTTATTTATTTATTTATTTATTTATTTATTTATTTTTGGAGACAGGGTCTTATGTAGACTAGCTAGCTTCAAAGTCAAGGATGAATTTGAATTCCTGACTCTCCTGTCTCTACCCCCTGAGTGCTGAGGTTAGAGGTGTACGCTATCATGCCTGGATTATAGGCTGGAACCTAGGGTTTTGAGCATGCTGGGCAAGCATTCTACTAATTGAGTGACACTCCAGCATGCTTCCTAGTTTCTCTAAGGTTGCCCTCCTGTGTGTTGTGCTAGAGGACAGCCTGCTATGTTTGGCTTCTTTGCACACAGGGCTCTGATCCCTTCTTTGGGTGCCGGGGGTCCCCTCCTACCTACTGGTCAGGTTCGTGAGCTCTGGAAAGAGGTTTTCCACGGGTTGCTCCTCAAACTGATGTAGCCCCTCATTCTGAGGGAGCAAGATACCCCCCCAAGCAACAGAGTCAGTCAGTAGCGTCCTGCACACAGGCCAGTACTGTCAGACTCTGCCAAGCCTGCCCGCCTCACCTCCTTGTAGAGATGGATAGCTGGATCGTTCCCACTCAGGAGAAACACTGTCTCCAGCTGCTCCCCAACCTGGACTCTGAAAGCAGAGAAATCTAGAATGTGCCAGAAACCTGAGTGGGGTTAAATTCCTCCAGGGATTCAGAAATGCCACTGTCAATTTATTTTGAAATAGGGTTTCCTGTACCCAAGGCTGGTCTTGAACTTACTATGTAGTCATAGCTGGCTTTGAATTCCTGATCCACTTACCAGTGCCTCTTACACCAAGCTTGAGATGCATTTGTAAAAGCAAAAAAAAAAAAAAAAAAGCATGCAAGATCTCTGACATTCAGAGTCTCACATGCCAGGTGTAAGGCTTAGTGTTCTGCAGACTTGTGTATACCAACTCTTAAGTTCTACAACTGCCAGCTCTCAGAGCGGCCAGGTGCAGATGCTGGGAGCCTGAGATGCTGGGAGCCCTGCTCTGAGAGCCCCAACTGCTGGAACTTATCCTTCACTCTCGGAACAGGATAGGGTACTCTAGAATGAGTCTGCAAACCCTCATAGCAAGGGCCAGTGAAACGGTTCAGTGGATAAAGGCAACTGCTACCATTCTGGATGATCTGAATCTGATCCCCAGGTCCACACAGCCAGAAAGAGCAGACTCCTGCGGGCTGTTCTCTGACCTCTACCTATATGCGGTGGGACACTCTTGCACACAAGTAAATATGAAAGAATCTTCATAATAAGGTGGATATATACATGCATGCATATGAACACACATGCACACCACTAAATGCTTTTTGTAAATAAAGTTTTATTGGCACAGTCCTAGCCATTCGTTTACAGTGTCAACTGCTGTTTGCTTGCTCCAGTGGCAAAACTCTACAGTTGTGATACCAACTGTCTGACTCTCAAAACTTAACTTTTACCAACTGGGCCCTGACACCCCCCACCCCAGAAAAAAAGAAATGTAGAACAAAGCAAAACAATAATGTTGCTAATCGCTGATATCAGTGTTGTTATGAGGACTCCCAATAGAACCCACATTCTGACTCTCAGGAGCTGCTGGGTTTGACAGAACTCTCTCTCTCTCTCTCTCTCTCTCTCTCTCTCTCTCTCTCTCTCTCCTTCTTTTTTGGAGACAGGGTCTCATATAACCTAGGCTAGCCTTAAACTCATGCAGTCAAAGATGACCTTGAATCAAATTCTGATCCTCTGCTTCTGTCTCCCAAGTGCTGGAATTAGAGGTATGCGCACTGGCTAGCCACTGGTTTATGTTGCTTCAGATGGAACCCAGAGCTCCATGTGCTCGGCAAATGTTCTACTGCCTGAGCTGTATCCTCAGCCGTCAGTTGCATTTTTTAAATCTGGGACTTTTAGGGCTTATGAAGCTAGAGAACAAGTCCAGGGCTGGGAAGTAGAGATCTAGAGTTTCAGAATTGGAGTCCTAGGTGCTCAGTTAACTCACTGGAAAGGTCTACCTGAGAGCTGACACTGTAGCCAATGTGAATGGCGCAAAGGCCTCTGAGTGCAGGGAAAGGGTAGGAGAGCACAGGTGCCCAGGGACACTCACTCTGCGTGGCACAGCTGGAAAGGTGTGAACTGGAGTTCCAAATTCAGGCAGCTCTCTGTAGAAGGACACAAGTTCAGTCCAGCAGCAGCTGGAAGCCCCACCCACACTCTCCCCCAAGCCCTACTCACCTGCAATGGAGTCCAGGTTGTACTCTGAGCCAGGCTCATAGTCACAGTAAATGTTAAGAAAGGGACTGCCCTTGTCTCCTGAGTCCTGGGGGGTGGAAACTGCTCTCAGGGGAGGTAGGGGAGGTGAAAGGCATTTGGAGTAGATTCAGAGCACCTGGGATAGACTTGGTAGGCTCCCCAGTGACAAAGGAAGAGGGCATGGACGGGTGGAGGGTGCTGTGGTACCTTTATAAAAGTGATGCCCACAACCAGGCCCCGTTTTGGGGGTGACTTGTTGAAAGTGTCGATGGAGACGATCTCAGCATCCACTATGAGGGGAGTTTAAAGTTCACTGATTAGGCAGGTCTCCACTCTCGCAGCCTAATCACACTAACTTTGTACCACTGCAGTAAACCTTTGGGTGAGCGGGAGTCTAACCACTATCGCCATTACCGAGTACTATGCTGCTGACACCTATGTTTGCGGAATCCTGGACTACTTTCGGGCCACGACGACAACTGTCTCAGACCCTAATAATTAACAGTTTTGACCCTGACCTTGCATCACAGTGGCAATCTTAGAATCCTCAACACCAGACTCCAGTCCCGCCCCCGGCACCAGAGCGCCACGCACCGGGAATGTAGTTGAATTGCAGCTCTTTGGCCACAGGCCGAATTTTCTGTCGGAGGTCTTGATAGCGGAAGCCGAGCACCTTGCCTTTAAGAGTAGCGGCCAGCAACTCCCCGCGCCCGTCGGCGCCTCCAGCAAGCCCGTACACGTTGCTCTGCGACGAAAAGCGCGTGAAGCTGTCCTCTCGCAGTGGACAGGGTCCCTCTGGCACGGCCGCCTCCCCCATCCTGGCCCTCCGCGATCGGTCTCAGCAGTCCTGATGCTCCCCCAACCTGTCAGGGAACCTCCATCAGCGCATACTGATGACGTCAAGAAGCTGCCGTCACTGCCCTTTACAAAGATGGAGCCCGACTCCCTGACTGGGCTTTCCAGAAAAAATTGCCCTCCTGCGTCTGCGTTCTGTACTTACCCATTTCAGAACTAAGGGGAAGGTCTTCCAGGACTTGAAATGGGGGATGGAGGCGTCTCCAGGCCTCTTGGAAAGCCATGTGAAAAGGAGAATAAGAATCACCCTGAATTGGGGGGTGGTCACACACTCCTGTGGTTACAGCACTTGAGAAGTGGAGGCACTTGGACCAGTTTCAAGGCCATCCTGTCTTACAGAGATTGAGGCCAAGCTTAAGTGAATAAGTAGTTTTCAGGCCCGCCGGTCTGCATGAGACACTCCCAACCCCCAACTCTCGTCTCTGATACACGCACATGCATTCCTATAAATACACTCATTCTCCAACCAAAACTACCTGAACAATAAAACAATGATAAAATCTAATTACTTCTCTTTTGGAAAAGCACATTTGATCTGCTAATTTATTTAAACTCATAAGCAAGCTGAAGCTGATGCACATACCTAATCTTTTTACTTTTAGAGACAGGATCTTACTCTATAGCCTTGGTAATTCACAAATCAGGCTGGCCACAAACTTGTGACAATCCTCTAACCTTTTATGTCAACTGCCAAGATCACAGGCATGCCCTTCTAAAGTAGGTACTCTTAATATTTTTTAAACATTTATGTATATGCTTCTGTATGGGCACATGTACCACCCTCACGTTCTGGGTCCCAGCGATTGAACTCAGGTAGTTAGGCTTGGTAGCAAGCACCTTTATCTGCGGAGCCATCTTGCTGGCCCTAAGGTACTCTTAAATCTATTACATAGGCCAACTGAGGTAAGTAAATTCTCTAAGACCACAATGAAAGAAGCAGCCAATATTAAACCCAAACAAATTATAATGTTATACTTAAGCAATATTATCTTTAAAATAGTAAAGTGTATTCTTATACCAGGGGAAAGATCAGTTAACCTGTCCATCCTGGTGGCAGAAGAGACTACCTGCTTTACTGAACATTCATAGTGACAGTCTGCAGGACCCATGGCTACCTTGTCCACCCAGATTGCACCTGGTGTCATCACACCCTTAGAGAGTCCCTCACAAACTTCTCACCAGTGCCACACAAAAGAGCTTTATAGAGGATGAGCCCAAAGTCCAGGGGGAGCAGGATCTGGACTAATGGTTCTCAGTGATGGAGATGGGTTATAAGCCAGGTGCTCCTGACTGAGGCCTTCAGGGGGCCTGTACCTGCCACTTCAGTCAACCTCAGCACCTGGAATACATAGCCTCAGACACAAAGCAGGCTCAGTAGATAAGCTAAAAAACCCGCCAACTCTGGGCCAGACAGATGGCATAGATTGGAGAAGGGCACTCGCTATGCAAGCCTCACAGCAACCCAAATCCAGTATGTGGAATTCATGTAAAAGCCAGATGAAGTAATGTACATCTGTAGTCCTAGTACTCCTTTGGAGAGGTAAGAGCTGGAAGCTCATGGACCAGTTAACTTGAGGTACTAAGTACATTAGCAGAGAAAAGACCCTGCCTTGCCCAGCATGGTAGCCCACACCTTTAATTCCAGTACACAGGAGGCCAGCCTAGTCTACAGCCAAAGCTACATAGTGAGTCCCTGTCTCAAACAAGACAGAAAAACAAGACTCTGCTTCAATGAGGAGTTAAGGATTGACTGACAATGTCCTCTGATGTCCACATGTGGGCCATGGTGTATGAACATACACATATTTAGAAACCTCCAACCATGTGGTTAGCCAGTATGTTGTTAGTACTGAGACTTCCCCCAAGTTGTCTTTAGACAGTGTGGCTATGAAAAGTGATGAGAAGCAAGATGCTGGAGCATTCTAGATTCCTGGCCTGGTGAGGAAGAGCTCCCTGAGGACACCTAGCAGTTGCTTCATGATCCATCCAGAATGGATGGGATGTGCAGGTTGACATGGCCTCTCGACTTTACTATTTGTGCATGTAATGGATGTATCTTGTACATATCCATGTACACGGGAAGATGGTTATCAATTGCCATGTTCTGTCACTCTTACTCCTTTGAGGCAGAGTCTTTTGTTAAGGCTGCTGCCAGCTGCAGGAGGAAGTTGGGTCCTCCTGCTTGTTGCAGTAAGTGTTCTTACCCACTAAGCTCTACCCACTGTCCCGGCTGTGCAGTTTGTTCTCTTCCGGCTGCTTCTGACTCATGGCGGCAACTTATAAACCATGTTCACTTAGATTTTCAACCCTAGTATGGATCTGAGCCACTTATGAAGCTTCCAAAACATCAGGATAGCAACCTCTGTCTAACCAGAGCAGCAGGCTGCAGCCCTGGGCATAAATGGGAGATTCTTGCAAGCCTTCTTGGCAACCCCATGGTAAAAAATTGTCAAGTCTCCAGCCTCAGGTTTCTCCAAAGTTGAGGGCCACTCAAAGTTATCAACTGAATAAAGCTGTTGGGGACACTGGAGGGTCAGAGGAGCAGAGCAAGATGTCTGGAAGGCCAATGTTTTCTACTAGGTCGTCTGCTTCAGTTAGGGCAATCCCACAGGAGGAGCCCAGTCCTGGCAGACCCCCTGTAGGATGAAACGGGTATCAGGACCCCGTCATCTTGGGCCAGTCCATAGCTTCTAGCAAGCACTCTGATTCTGAGGCTCAGCTGCAGAAACCTCTAACTCCTCCAGGACAGCCAAGGCCCAAAGGGAAGGAGAGGGCAATAGAGACAGCGGAAGAGACTCATGCAAAAGTGGCAGGTTTTATTGTCCTTCTTGGGCCAGCTGCAGTTTCAGGTCAGACAGACCTGGATGCAGGGAGAGAAGCAGGCGCAGGGCAGGACCAAGGCACCCCGTGAGCTCCAGGGCTAGGTCTAACCTGAGAGGTTGGCATTGTAGGAACAAGGGAAGGCTCCAGGGGCAGGGGTTACCCCCAGCCAGGGAGAGAAGTCTCAGAGCTACCTGTGTTCTTATCTGTGCTAGGGGACAAGGTAGGAGATATGGAAACAGCCTTAGTACACTGCTGGTCAGGTGATGGGCCCGGATGCTGACCCCAGGCTCCTGAAGCACACAGAGAAGTCTGTATTAGAGAATATGTCCAGGTGGGTTTTCCAGGGCAGGAGGACACCTTTAGGGGCTTAAATAAATGACAGGGTGAAGGATGCAGCGGGCATAGGGTGACCAGCCATCCAGGAAAGCCCGCCTGGTGCCCTGGAGGATGTGGCCCGCATTGCACCCACTCCTTCAGACTCCTGGTGGGAAGTGTTGGTTCCACCTCTGTGACAGACAGATGGGTGGAAGGCAGTGGCTGGAGGCCTAGCGCAGGTCCTCCTCATCACCCTGAATGGTCTTCTTGATTCGTAAAAGCATAGTGGTAAGCCACTGGTCCAGTCTTGAGATGGAGTCATATTCCTTCACCTGTGGCACAGAGAGGGTGAGCCATGACACACTGCTCCCTCCTGGAACCCTCCCTGGCCCCAGTCCCAGGTTTCCGAGAGAGCACCCTGTCACCTCAGTCTGCAAAGCTTGCAGTAGGAGTTGGCAGTAAAAGACTCTGTAGTCTAAAAGAACCCGAGCGTCCTGGCTTTGTGGGTGGAACTGAGGCCTTGGAAGCATGAAAACACTGCCTCTCCCATCTATGTGCCAAGTGGGATATAGCCAGCTTGACCCCTGCCCTCAGGGGCCTGGTTACCAAGGGCACCTGGAGAGTAATGTAGTGGCAAGTACTGGCTAGAGAACTAAGGTAGACATAGTTGGACACAAATGTTCAGAGTGGAGTGAGAAAGGGAAGCAATCCTGCAGGGTAGCCATGTGGTAAGAGCAGCAGAGGAGTTCCGACAGCCTTGTTGTCCACAAGGGCTTGAAGATGTTTTGGTTATCGGGATTAAAGAGGTGTGCTACCGCTGCCTGGCTTAAGTAGGGTAGAACTGATGAGAGAGCACATTGCAGACAATCCACTGGTCAGGACCTGTGTGCCACTCACCGACTCTGTGTAGCTGTCCACATTCTGTTCCTCATGGGCTTCTAGCAGCTTCTGCAAACAGGGTCAGGGTCAGCCAGACTCAGCGGATGTTGTGGGGTATAACTGCAAGGAGGACCCCACACTGACAGGTTCTGCCCCAGTCAGGACACTGTGGGGCATGTGCAGGGGAAACCCCAAGGTCCTAGCCCTACCCACTTCTCCCCACTGTCCCTGCATTAACTGTACTTGTTTCAGGTAGAGAACTGAGCAGAATGGCAGGAGAAAAACAAATCAAACAGAGCCCCTCTAAGCAATTTTGGTGGTTACCCCAGCTGAGACCCAGATCCAGGCGAGCCAGATCCAATGCTCACTTTTATCAGCTTGCATTCCCGGGAATCCGAGAAGGCTGGGAACAGCTCCTCATACTTCTGAACAGCAAGCTGAGCAACAGGAGAGAGGGTGAGAAAAGTTAAGAAAGACTGGGACACCAAAAACATTGGCCTGCAGTTCTGATTTGGTGCTCCATGCCCTGGCCTCCAGGATCACCTGACTCGTGCCTGATGGTGCCATCCCCAAGTCAGCTGAGTCCAGTTAGCAGAGGTGGCTGTAGGAAGGGGCAGAGTTTCCAGGCATGGAGTGGGGAAGGAGGCAAAAGAGCCTACTGCACACGGCAGGCCTATAGCTGCGCTTTCATACATGGAACCCTTGTGAGAGTCTTGCTCAGGTCAGTGAAGTGGAAAAACTTACTGGGGATACTAGGTGAGTTGGGTGGGGTACAGCCTGCTCTGAAAAAAACCCAACTGCGTGCTAATAATTCACCAGTATGGGCTGGGATGTGGCTCAGCGGCAGAGCATTTGCAGAGCAGGCATGAGGCTCAGGTTCCATGCCCACCACAGAATGTAAAAACAGCAAAATTACCTCCCCCAAATGCATAGCTGCCAGCTATACTCAGACAGGGAAGGAGACTGGGGCAGCCAGATGTCATGTAGCCCGTGAAGCTACAAGAGGATTGAAAGCCAACACCCAGCTTC